GAAGTACTTGGGGGGTGACGCAAAGGAGATAGAGATGGGCCAGCTGGGACCAAACCCTGGGCTTTTACCAGTTCCCCCCAGGCAGCCTGTGCTTGGCCACCCCCATAATTGAGTCGCCCCCTGTGCTGGGTAACTTGTTAGCCAGGCAGGTGCCCTGGCAGAGCCCCATGGCCAACCTGAGCAGTTGCCTGCAAAAGTAAAACATACTGAATTCACCAAACCAACACACAAGACAACAGCAGACTTTTTTCCCTCCATCTTTGACCAGACCTGTTAACTTTACAAAGATATTTCATCTGCTTTTAGGGATTTTCTGGCTTTACATGATTTTTGAGTGCACCTCTATTTCCTGCTTTAAACAATGTTCAAAGGCCAGACTGAGCAACAACAGTCTGTGACATCTGCATAAAGTTAACAGCAAGCAGAAAGACTGATTTTTTTGATACATGCACACGTGTGTGTGTGTGTGTACATGCACGTGCACACGCAGAGCAGAGGTTCCCAAGCTTTCACTTTGTTATTAGCAGCAGTGGTTATTCCCAACTCTGTATCAGAAGCTGCTGGTCTGCTGTTTGTGCAGCACCAAGGTAAGAGCTACCAGAGCTCTTAAGACAGCGGCCAGGGAGTCCAGCTAAGGGGTTCTTTAAAAAAAAAAAAAAAAACAAAACCCAAACCAAAACAACCACCAAATGAACAAAAAAGAAACAAACACCACCCCCCCAACACAAACTCTTTCATCTACTCAGTTCAAACAATGCACACACATTCCTGTTTCTTGTCTAGCCTCATACATTAATTTTTACCTCCTCGAACAAATGGTTCCCTTTCTGGAGAACAGGTTACTCCTCTGCTCTAGCAGACTGACTCCAACTGTACCATGGGTAGAGCAAAGGTTTCCACCAAGCACACCCCTGCTGTTAGCGCAGTTCATCAGGTAGCTACTAGGAAACAAAAGTAATTCTGTGACAGAAGCTGTTTGTCTTAGCAAGTCTTTTGCTGTTGCGGGCATGCATGATGTGGTATCTCACCCACAAATACGATGAAGTCAATTGATTGTAACATTTGCTGTTTCTTCCTTCTGAGTTACAAAGCAGTGATTTGAATTTCAGTGCAGACTACTTGCAGAAGAGTCTTATATGATACTTCAGTCCTTTTCAAACACTCTATAAAGATTAATTGATTGCTGTTTAGTTTGTAAAAAATATTTAGCTTGTCAGCTAGTTCTAACTAAGTATTTGTTTTCTGTAAGATCAGGGAGATACTCTTAACCTGGTTTAAGGCTGCCATTACAGAAATGTGCATTCATTGTTGATAATGCACCTGTTTAATATACATCGATTTAAGAACTCTCTGTAAGAGTTTTTTATTCAAGGGGCCTCTGAAGAAAAGCAGCAGAATTCTGCAAATAAGTATGATCTATGCATCTAGCAATTAATAATGCTTTAGTAGCTTTTGAACATTTACTATCTGAAAGTGCAGGCCACAGGAAAAATATGTCCTGGTTTCAGCTGGAATAGAGTTCATTTTCTTCCTAGTGGCAGGCATAGTGCTGTGTTTGGATTTAGGATGAGAATGATGCTGATAACACCCTGATGTTTCAGTTGTTGCTAAGTAGTGCTTATGCTAGTCAAGGACTTTTCAGCTTCCCATGCTCTGCCAGGTGCACAAGAAGCTGGGAGGGGGCACAGCCAGGCCAGCTGACCCAAACTGCCCAAAGGGCTATTCCATACCATATGGCATCATGCTCAGTATAGAAACTGGGGAGTTGGCTGGGGGGCAGAGATCGCTGCTTGGGACTGGCTGGGTATCGGTCAGCGGGTGGTGAGCAATTGCATTGTGCATCACTTGCTTTGTATATTATTATTATTTTCCCTTCCTCTTCTGTCTTATTAAACTGTCTTTATCTCAACCCATGAATTTTACTTTTTTTTCCTTCCCGATTCTCTCCCCCATCCCACTGTGGGGGCAGGGAGAGTGAACGAATGGCTCTGTGGTGTTTAGCTGCCTGCCGGGTTAAACCACAACAAGTAATTCAATAGAAACATATGTTGAGCCAACATGTTTAGAGAAATTAATTCCAGTGTTTAGAAATTAGAGAAGTTAATTCCAGTCTAGTTCCAGTGGTTTAAAAATTCTGCTTGAAATAGAAATGTGTTCATTTACTACTTTAAAAAATTAGAATAGGATAAAACAAAATACTCTAATATAACCTTAATGCTATTACCTCTTTTAACCCAATGGTTTTGAATAATTTTTCTTTTTCTAGTCCAAACGCTGTCTCTCTCACTGCTACTATATTTAAATAAGCCACTATTGAGGAAACAAACAGAAAACGGAAAAATGAGCTGCCTTAGAACTCTTATGAATGGGATGCTAATGTCAGCACTCAAAGGAGAAACTGCCAAAAAGAACAGCCATAACAGAGAATTTCATTCTTACATATTTTTATTTTATTGGTTTTTTTACATTCTTTGATGGAATTTTTATGCAACTATTATGCCACAATCTATGATATACAATGAAAATGGAAACCTTTCATTTACCACTTACATTTCTATGTTAATGTTGTTTTCTACCTCTGCATATACTGTGGCATAAGTGCATTTATCATATTTCATGCAGCACTGACCTGCCTTATGCAAACTGAGAATACAATAAATGGTGCCAACAATATTTAGCTGCACTCAATTCTTGCCACAGAAACAAGCATTCATAAAAGCATTAAAATGCTTTGGGTGATGGTTACTGCCTATCAGCTTAATGTTTTCAGCTATAGAAATGGACAGGAGACAATCTTTGCTGCTGTCAACTGCAGTACTTTCCAAGTTCATTAGGTTTCAAAAGACTGAATTAGCGTCACTGTTTCAATGGGAGAAAAAAGCCCAAGGCAACCAGCCTGATTTAAAAGGATTCTACTGAGTTTCACGAACATTAGACTAAGTTCGGTTCTGGATCCCGTGGTAAGTACCTTACCGCACCAATTTTATGCTCTGACAGAAGGATTATTTTTTTCACCATCATGTTGTCTCCCAGCCAAATAAAGGGACAGCGTAAGGCACACACCCCTTTTTGGCAACCTGCTTGGACAAGTAGTACCGGATCATAGCTAGAAGTTTTTCATACAGCTTTTTAATTTGATGAGACAAGAAGCTTTCCAGTAACACCTTACTCTCTGAACCAGGCAATAAACTGTCAAGCCTTATTATGTCACAGCCAATACAGCAGCAGCAGGGTTAAACTTACTGCCAAGAACAGAACTACGTCCCAGGAGCACGCTCAGGACAGGGAATTGGAGATGAGGGTGAAATCTCACCTATGCGTTTCTAGTCACTTGTTCTGGTGTATCAAAGTGGCTGCTCAGCAGATCTGGCACAACGCTGCAGGCACCGCAGGGGCACAGGGCCCTTGTGCAGCTAGTTACTGCCGCCTGCTTCAACACAGGCACGGCCATTCCGCTGCGTCCTGCTACACCACTTACTCTGTTAATTAAGCAGTTCCCTCTGCCAGCCAGCAGAAAAAAGGGAAGAAGTCTCCTGCCACTACCTAGTCTAGCGTTGCAGAAACCTGCAGTCACAAGGCTCACCCAGACCCAAGTTCTCCTGGGGCAGAGGGAACAGGACTTCTGACAAGGCTAGTTCTTACAGTAGGAGGGGAGAGGAAAGCTGTGCCCACCTGCCTTCTAGCACTGCGGAGGAAGCACGAGCAGCGGCACTCCGAGAGCGCCCTGCTGCGCAGTGCCTCCCAGCAAGCCAGGCACTATCTCCCGAGAAGAGAAACAACCCCTGCTGTTCCCTCCCCTCCAGCACCTGCTGTACATCAGCTGCCCTACACAGAGCCAGCTCTTAGAGGCGGTTCACTTCTGTGTCCATACTGAAAGTACACGGCAATTGATATCCTAATTGACAAGTAAACACAAGGGACAAAAAAATCAATTGCTACTTGTACAAAACCACAGCATGTGACTTTGGTCAATCAGCAACTGCTGCTTGCCCACCTTCCTCTGAACATAAAAAATGGTGACTAAATCAGGAATTACCACTTCGGAGTTGAATTAATATCAGCAAGGAGATGTGAGGCAGGGATTAGCACTGGATAAAGCAGAGAACCCACTACTTGTTGCACAAACACAGATTTCTCATCCAAACACAATTTGTCTTTTTATAGGTGCTAGCTACCACGTCAAAGAAAAGCAGATCCTAGTAGTTTGGTGAGGGAAAGCGTGTTCATCC